CAAATGCAATCTGCAGCTCAGAGTGTCACAACATGCATTCAACTCAGAAGCTGGGCGACAAAACTATATCCAGTCAACAAATGGAACAAAAATGCATCGGCCACCGTCCGGCCCAAAGACAGTGGCCCGCCTAGCGTCCATTTTGACCAGGGACCGGGGAAATGTTCTGGTTGTTTTTCCACTCATGGCTGTGTAGACTGTTGGTTCCTTGGCTCTCATGCAGATGCACTCCGACTTCAAAGGAAACACCCCTAATTTGTCACTTCCTATGACATGCTTTAATGGGGCACAGTGGGGCTGTTCTTTTTTTCTCCAGAATGGAGCCCCAGAACTCGCACACTGGGATCTTGGGAAGTTAAGATAGAATAAATCACTGACTGAATAATGATTGGCCAGCCTCAAATGGGTACCAGGATGGGCTGTCCTGGGAAAGTAAAGACAGCCGGCGTAATGCTGACCACATTACCCACAGAGTGCTGATGGTCTGTAAAAATATGGGACGCTCTGCCCATATGCCCGATGCGCCGAAAGGCGTGAAAAGGGATCTTTACTTTTTTTTTTTAAATATAAAAGTTTGACACCAGGACCTTGTGTGCAACAAGCGTTAACTGTTGGAAAAAGAGTATTTTATTTTCCATGATTTTAATACTAGCATCGTGGCTAGATGCTTACCTGCCAGTCCAAAAATCATGAGGTCAACCTAGCCAAAAATAGTTACCAGGTAATGAATGCCCTGGGAAGTTAAGGGGAGGGCTTGATGTTGACTCACCCACCAAGAGTGGATTGATCTATAACATGTGAGTCCTGTTTCACATGCCCATTGCACCACTTTAGCAAAAATTGTATTAATTTACGTTCTACATGAAAAAGTACAATAATTATGTTATAAAGAAACCTAAATATTCATCAGTCATAACTATCAAAGTTCTGTGTATATAGTTTATTAAATATTTTATCTTCAATCTAAATAGAAGCCTCTTGCCTATGGTGCCTGGGGTTACTGTTAAAACAGCCAACTCGTCCAAGTCACTAACCATTGATCCTTTCATTACCATAAACTAACAGATGAATTAAAATCAACATAATAATTTGACACACACACAGAAATAACAAAATTTCTGCCTGAACCTGATGGACGCAGCAAAAAAACCAGAATAAATCAGTACTGTATTTTTCCATGTTTAAGATGTTTTCCTACATTTTCTAAGTTTAAAATTAGGGGTCTTTTTAAACATGGAATGTTTAAAATATTTATTTCCTAATTTTAGGTTATAAAAAAGGGTTTGTCTTTTACATGGAGGGGAGTCACTGTGGTGTAGCGGCTAGACACTCGCCTGTGGATCGGAGGGCCATGAGTTTGCTCCCTGGCAGAGCCAGATTCTTTCAAAAATGACCTTGGCTCCTAGGTCGACCCAGCCTTAAGTGGGTACCAGGTGCAGTCCTGGGAAGAAAAGGTGGCTGGCGTGATGCTGACCACATCTCCCATCTTGTGCTGTTAGTGTATAAAATATAGGTCTAGCCCTATATACCCAATACGTCTGAAAGGCGTAGAAAAGGGTCCTTTACTTTTACTTATACATGGAGGCATCTTATACACACACAGGGAAGTCAAGTAACTACCAGAATATAAAAACTGGGGGGAACAGGAAAAGATGTTGCGAAAAGAAATTACAAACTGCACACCACATATACTATAATCTGTGAGAAATTGTATGCTTGGAAAGAGGGGTGGGGGTATAGAAAAACTTTTAACAAGCTGATAAAATATACCGGTTTTTACCAATCAACACTGGCATTTTAATGATTTTCTTTCATTCTAGCAACTGTCAGCATTTTGTCCATGAATCTGCCTTTGTTGTCTTTCAAGCTGTCACTGCTGCATATGCTATGTCTTCGATGTCTTGGGTAGACAGAAGTCAGCATGAGTAAGCAGCAGCATTAAACAGTTTATACTTTCCCAACTTGTTTGGACATTTTCAGAATTGATGTTTACTTTACTGGTACTCATTCATTGTTTTGTTTTTATTTTTGTTGTTGTATTTCCGTATATCAGTTTCATATTTGTGCCAGGGCACGCAGGTGTGCAAGGAAATGAGCAAGCTGATCGGCTTGCAGGTAAAGCTACTGTGGAGCAATGGACCATGCTGATATTCTGAATGCTTTACGAGAAGTAAGATGCTTGCGGGAACCAAGTGATGACTGTGAATCTGTAACCATGACCAGACTGGAAGAACAACATGTTAAAAGGGGTGTGACCAGACAAGAGCACTATGTGGGAAACTCAAGAAGAATAATAAATCAACACATTACTGGTGTCATGAGTTGCTGCGAGATTTACTAAGGAGGTTATCGGGCACTTACAGACTGAGTGGTTCGATGTGCAATGAGAATAGTCTGTCAGCCAACTAACTAACTATTGCCATATTTCGACTTGGGTAGTTTGTTATTAAAATTGAAACAATCTTTTATCAGTTTGGATTCAGTTTATAGTATTATGAACAAAGAGTGCATTTGATTATTTTTAGTGTACAAAGAGGATTTCTTTAATTTGTTTGCTAATTGACAGAGACAATAGTCAGCTTTATCACAGTGGGTCACCGTGGCACCGTAGCTAAAATATTCAGCTTTATCACAGTGGGTCACCGGGGCACCGTAGCTAAAATATTCAGCTTTATCACAGTGGGTCACCGGGGCACTGTAGCTAAAATATTCAGCTTTATCACAGTGGGGCACCGTAGCTAAAATATTCAGCTTTATCACAGTGGGGCACCGTAGCTAAAATATTCAGCTTTATCACAGTGGGGCACCGTAGCTAAAATATTCAGCTTTATCACAGTGGTTCACCGGGGCACCGTAGCTAAAATATTCAGCTTTATCACAGTGGGTCACCGGGGCACCGTAGCTAACATATTCAGCGTTATCACAGTGGGTCACCGGGGCACCGTAGCTAAAATATTCAGCTTTATAACAGTTGGTCACCGGGGCACCATAGCTAAAATATTCAGCTTTATCACAGTGGGTCACCGTAGCTAAAATATTCAGCTTTATCACAGTGGGTCACCGGGGCACCGTAGCTAAAATATTCAGCTTTATCACAGTGGGTCACCGGGGCACCGTAGCTAAAATATTCAGCTTTATCACAGTGGGTCACCGGGGCACCCTAGCTAAAATATTCAGCTTTATCACAGTGGGTCACCGGGGCACCCTAGCTAAAATATTCAGCTTTATCACAGTGGGTCACCGAGGCACCATAGCTAAAATATTCAGCTTTATCACAGTGGGTTGTCGGGGCAGCATAGCTACAAAATTCAGCTTTATCACAGTAGGGCACCGTAGCTAAAATGTTCAGCTTTATCACAATGGGTCGCCGGGGCACCGTAGCTAAAATATTCAGCTTTATCACAGTGGGTCACCGGGGCACCGTAACTAAAATATGTTAGCTTTATCACAGTGGGTCACCGGGGCACTGTAGCCAAAATATTCAGCTTTATCACAGGGGCACCATAGCTAAAATATTCAGCTTTATCACAGCTGGTCACCAGGGCACCGTAGTTAAAATATGTTAGCTTTATCACAGTGGGGCACCGTAGCTAAAATATTCAGCTTTATCACAGTGGGTCACCGTAGCTAAAATATTCAGCTTTATCACAGTGGGGCACCGTAGCTAAAATATTCAGCTTTATCACAGTGGGGCACCGTAGCTAAAATATTCAGCTTTATCACAGTGGGTCACCGTAGCTAAAATATTCAGCTTTATCACAGTGGGTCACTGGGGCACCGTAGCTCAAATATTCGCCCAGACCTAGAAGAAAAGCTAGCCGGCTTCCGAATGAAATACATTTATAAATGACAAAATTAATGTTGCAGCTAGAAAGCCTTCATCAGTAAGCTAAAAACAAAACCGACTGTGAAATGCAGTGTTTATATTACCTTCACTCGGCCACTGTTCACATTGGTGTATGGCTGTCTGTCTTTGTTCAGACTTCTTTAGTTACTGTCTGGTTAGGAGAAAGATGCTGGCGTTCAATTGATATAAAAACTTAGGCTGAGCTGCAGGTTAAACCAGGTTAGGAGTGTCGGGGTCTTGATGTCGTCTTTCTCAAAGGCAGAATGGCACATGCATAAAAAAACACTTTAATAGTGGTTAGAATTAATTAACTAAGCTCTGCTTCACAGGTAGAAACAAATACTAGGCTGAGGTCAGTTCTTACCCACATGGGTCTGAAGTTACACGTGGCTGAGGTCAGTTCTTACCCACATGGGTCTGAAGTTACACCTGGCTGAGGTCAGTTCTTACCCACATGGGTCTGAAGTTACACCTGGCTAGGTAACTGTTGTGGGTGCCCTAATTTTAACTTCTTAAGAGGTCAGTTCTTACCCACATGGGTCTGAAGTTACATCTGGCTAGGTAACTGTTCTGGGTGCCCTAATTATAACCTCTTAAGAGGTCGAGTGGATGTCTGGGGTCTGTCGTCCATGTTGAGATTTTATAATCTCAGTTTTATCATATCAAATAAAGAACCCTTTTTCACACCTTCAGGCATATAGGGCTAGACTTATATTTTATGGGCTAATCAGCACTTGGTGGATAATGTGGTCACGCTGGCCGCCTTTACTTCCTAGAACTTATTCCATGTACTCATTTAAGGCTGGGTCGACCTGGGAGCCATGGTCATTAAAAAAAAAAATTCTGAATCTGAACCCATGACATTAGGATCTGCATGTTAGTATCTAGCCAGAGGTCATATAAGGGCAGACCTTCGAACACTTGAGTCAACAAGTGGAAAGAGAAGACCAGTCACAGAGAGATGAATGCAGGCAGGTGATATCTGTAGCAGGGATCTTCAAGGGCTAGGAATGCTGCAGAGGAAGAAAAAGAAAGGAACCCAAAGAAATATGTTTTCATTATCTACCTAAAGTGTTTGTATGTTATATGCGGTTTATTTGGTTTTCTAATTCTGAACAATTTTGAATTATAGGGTCCAGAGTGACTTGGCAGAATGACACAAGTTGTAACTGTGCCACATCCAGGACATAGGGGTAAGTAGCTGAAAGAGGAGGCATTTCATGTGTATTTTTGTTCCAGTAGTTTGTCAGAGGAGCGGCTGGTCGAACAGTTAAGAACACTGGGCTGTCATTTGGGAGACCCAGGTTCGAATCCTCGGTGAGGTCATGAATTTCTTTCTGTCAGGGGCTAAACAACACTAAACATGCGGTGGTAAATCCTCAAACTCACCCACCCGCCTACACCTCAAAATTGGCAAATATACAGGAAGTAAGGAAGTAATTGGCAGTTTGTCATTCATTTGTGGTTGCATGTTTTTTTTTTCTTTTTCAAGTAAAATGACTAGTTTAGCAACACGTGGAGCCACGGTATCACAGAAGTTAGCAAGCACATGTGCCTCCCAACCCAGTGGTGATAGGTTCAGACCTGGATTTATCAGCTCCTAGGTTGACCCTGCCTAAAATTGATGATTGAAAATAAAGACAACCACATTGACCACATCACCCACTAACTTCTTTAACTTCATCGGCCGTAACTCCCATGGAAACTTCTAGTTGTTCTTCCACTTCTGGACTGAAGCTTTAGCCTTGAACCAGAACTTGAGCTTTGCTTGCACATCCATTTTACAGATCTGGCTTATTTATAAGCAGACTGTTGGTTCCTAGCCTCTCAGGCAAATGCAATTCGACTTTAAAGTATTGAGTTGAGTCGATTCAAAAACCGACATCACAGCACTCAGGGCATTCCCATAAGCGCTCCGACCCCCATCCTCAGCAGCCATTGAAGAGCTCCGATACTAATGGTGCCAGTAGCATTCCGATTAAACATCTGTCTTACCTTTGCTCTGAGCCTTGAGTATCTACCAGAACCTCTCGTCACTCCCTGCTGCATCAATCTCACCAGTGGTGATCCATCTGCTTCTCCGACTGTAACGCTCCCCCACAAGGCACTAACCACGTCTGCTTTATCATGCATCAGTATTCCACCAAGTTGTGCAGAGCCAGCCAGTCTGTCCACCTGTTCATTTTCCAACACACTTCACTGTTTCCCAGTGAAAAAATCCAGACAGTACTCCTCACCCGTGTCCTCCGCAGTGAAGCATGCCACTCTGCACGAAGCATGCCTGTCCTGACCTTCCTCAGCATGCTTTTTCAGTCAGTTACAATCGCGATGTGTATGTGTGTCATGTTCTTTAACCAGCGAAAAGCTGCAGTAACCGCCTCCACCTCCATTCTTAAGCTGGATGTTGTGATATCTCAACTTTAAAGGAAACACCCTTAATAATTCTACTTTTATGTTAGGGAGGTAGTGGGTCTGTTGTTTTCCTCCTCTATAATAAGGCACCGGTAACAACACAGGGACATCATTAACTAATATTAGTATATAAAATATTATGGCTAAATAAGGTAGAAAGGTTAAACAAAACAGTGAACATGACATGAACAAAAAAAAGATAAATAAAGGGGAGCGGGGATGAATGTGCAGATTCTCTGTATGTTCTATTAATTTATCTTTATATCTTTATTATCAGTTGCTCCAAAGGGGCAGGAGACCAGACTAAAGGGACATTGGTTACAAGGTCAGTTTGTAATGTGGCTTTTACTTATCAGTGAATGTGTGTGAGCTCTTAAAGAAGGGCTGTTCGACTGACGACACATGAGAAAAATCTGGCCAGCAGGGGCACAGCAAGTAGTCGGTGGATCATTTGTTGTGTTGTTTTTATGATCTTTCTATACTGGGGCTGGGTCTCTGGCCTGTGACGATTCACATAAAAAAAAATTTTGTTCCCTGAGGAAACTTAGTAAACTTAAAGGATGCATGAGGTTATCCGTGATTGGTTAGTAACCTGTCTCAGTGACTCTCTCTGTGTCTATCTCTCTGTCTCACTCTTTCTGTCTGTCTGTGTCCCTCTGTCTGTCTGTCACTCTGGCTCCCTCTGTCTTTCTGTCACTGTCTGTCTGTCTCTGTGGCTCTCTCTGTCGATCTTTCTCTGTCTGTCACTTTGTCTCCCACTGTCTTTTTCTCTGCTTCTCTTTCTCATTATCTCTCACTCCCTGTTTGCATCTATTTTTCTGTCTTGAAGGTTGTTATCTAACTTTGGCAAGCATTTTTGTCAGGTTTAAATAGTACCAGGGCAACTCAGCCTAAAATGTAACCCAGGTAATGTCTTGGAAAGTAAAGGCGGCCGATACTGAGTGCCAATTGATCAATAAACACACAAAAAAGGCACTTTATGCCTGATGTCCAAAAACAAGAGTCCTTTACCTGCTTTGAACAGGTGTCATCCAGCAGGCTGCGCTATCTACACATAGGCTTTTTTTTTTTAAAAGAAACATAATTTTTACAAATTTGTAGTATTTTGGCCTACTCTGCTTGATTCAGCATCCTTGAGTTTTTATTTATTTTGTAGAATGTACCTTTTTTATTCAAGAGATATTTTATGTGGGTTCTGGGGCCCTCTTTGGGGATTGGGGGGGAGGAGGGGGTAGACCCACCCCCCTCCTGACAAGCATGTCCTAACAAGCAACTAATTAGGGTTGTTTCCTTGAAGTCTGAAAGGCGAGGAACCAATAGTTGGCAAACAAATAAACCAGGTCTGGGGGGGGGGGGGGGAGGGAGTAGACCCACCCCCCTCCTGCCAAGCATGTCCTAACAAGCCACTAATTAGGGTTGTTTCCTTGAAGTCTGAGAGGCGAGGAACCAATAGTTGGCAAACAAATAAACCAGGTCTGGAAAATGGATGTGCACAAAAGTTCTAGAACAAGACCAATGTATAGAAGTGGACACACAGCTATAACTTTTCACCAGAGTTTACAGCCCGTGAACATGAAGAAGAAGATACAGTGTTCGCACCCAGACATTTATCAAGATCTTGAAACCCCGTCCTTATAAACTCGAGTTGATCAGTCACAGTTACTATGATTTGGACATGTATGAAGAATGGGAGAGAATCGGCCACCACGGCAGGCATAGGAGGTTGAGAAACAGGGACCAAACCTCCAGGATAACAAAGATCACTAGGAAATTAATATCTGACAGTCTTGGACTGACAGATAAGGGAAATGGGACAAAACTAAAAAGGAAACTGCTGATCGAGAAGTCTGATGGTCTCTCTGGTAAACCTCAACACCACATGGTAGAAGAGGATCAACTAAGTAAATAAAGACAGTATAATCTGAGACATTAATTCTAACATGGTGCCATATGTATTCTCATTTTTCATATTTGCTGTGTCACAACTACTGGTTGTGTTGTGATGGTGATACCTGACTGATTTTCATGATGATTCCTCCCGTGATCCTGATGGCGCTGGTAAGTTCAGATGATAATACCGACAGCTTAGAGTTAGATAAACTGTTGGCAGAGCTTCAGAGTTTTCCAGATGAACAAAATGCCAAGGGTCTTTACCAGAACGGGTTAAGTGATGATGCTGGTGTCAAAGGGTATGAAGATGGTACTGAAACCAGAGTACATTGCCCCGCCCACTCAGAACTGAGTTTACGTCTACAGCAGTTAAATGATTCAAGTAAGAAAAGGAAACAGTTGGAGTCAAATGTTAAAAACATGCCTGTGCTAGACAATGTAGGTACGCATAAAAATATTGAACACAGTAGATCATTTAATCATGATTCACAGCGGCTTAAACAGAATGTGCCATCAGCTGATGAAATTGTAGAAAGGAAAAGCTCACAATGTGACAGTGGACAGAAGAACAAGCTACAGGCTGATATTATTAACACAATACAATCAAAATCCCAAACCCTGGGCGTTAGTTCAATCTTGGTAAATGATGCGCACATTAGTAAACCTGCGGTGGTTTTTGCTAACACAGCACCAGCTGCGACTTTATCTTTGGCTGAACTGGCCAGGCAGCACAAATCACAGAGAGCTAGAGTTGCCAGTTTGGAAAGCGATAATGAAAAGTTAAACAAACAAAGTGCAGTATCCACACCTCTGGTTTTGGGCTGCCGTACATCTACAGGTTCCCTGACAGATCTGCCAGCCTCTTATCCAGAGACAGCAGCAACATCCTCTGGAGTCTCCCTCTCACAGCTGGCTCTGCAGCACAGGAACTCCAAACCCCCACTGTCTACAGTATCACCTGGAAATGGTTACGTAAATGGTTACGTAAATGGTTACAAACCTTCCCTCTTGCAGCTAATGAAAAATGTGGCCATTGATGATACCAGAACCAGCAGTGCTGCAGAAGCACCATATGCTCAAGTTCCCCAGAAACCTAGTTCCAGTCTGTCGTTAACATTATGTTTGAAAGTAAACAAACCCTCAGACACATCTACAAAGTTGCCTTACGGCCAGCAAAAGCAGGATACCGAAGACTTGGCTGTCGGTAACACATTCATTATGATGGACAGTGAGTCAGTTGAGTCAAATGCAGGCTCACAAGAGCAGAGCATACCTACAGATTTGATTCCCCGGGTGTCATCAGTAGGTTTTGTTCTTTGCTGTTTGAAGAGAAAAAGAAAACTGGAAGATTCCTCAGCCAACATTAGAACAACTTTTAAATACCCAAAATTTAAATGTGTTAGCCAGGTGGGTCAAAGAATTTTGTATCCAGAGATTGTTTACCGCAAAATTGAACCGTTTGATTTTTCCACCCTGTCGCCGGATGACTTGGTGAAACACAAACAAAAGCAGGCCTTTACCAGACCTCAGAAAGAGTTTGAGTTTTAAATGTGCCGATGATGAGATGAGCTGTCACTTTGCTGATAATGAGATTAATTTACATTTACTGATGGTATGGGTTATAAATTTACTGATGGTATGGGTTATAAATTTACTGATGGTATGGGTTATAAATTTACTGTTGGTATGGGTTTACATTTCCTGATGGTATGGATTATAAATTTACTGATAATATGAGTTATGAATTCACTGATAGTGTGATGGCATTCTCTTGGTTAATTCGGTATAAAATTGTTGACACATAAGTTTGCTCATGATAGGGGTGAAATATTTGTTATTGATGAGATGATTGATAAATTTACTGATAGTGGGATGGCATATAAATAATTTGCTGTTGATGAAATGAAGTTTAAATTTGCTAGTGAAAAGGTGGAGTGCAAATTTATTGACAGTGCAGATTGCTGAACTTAGCTTATGTAGTCAGTATGGGCTAACATGTTTTCACCCATTGAAGTATGACATGTTTTTGTGTATGTGTATGTCAGATGCTTGTCTTAAGCTTCTGATATGCCACTGCCACATTAAATTTTTTTAGGAATAAAGGTATCAGGTTTCTGCAACATGTACCCTGTTAAATTTTTTGTGGTAAGGTCTAGATGATACAGGGTGTTCCAAATTCTGAATTAACTAATAGGAGACACATTATATAAGTTTGTCTTCCTTGTCCTGGGTTGTATAATTCTAGATTTTGTGGTACCGGGCATAAGAGTACTTCTTATCCATATTTTTTTTTAACCTCTGGGCTGACACCTGTAGGTTTGACACCCTGAGATTTTAAAATATCAATCAAGATGGCAGATCAACAGGGCAAATCATAGATAGCCTATTCAGCCTCCAAAGATGTTATAATTAGGTGACCCATAATGCCTATACCAATGTTGTGGGATGTACAGTCTTGTGCGGGTAAGGATAATATGTAACCTGAGCCTTCCTAAAGTCCTTAATACTATAAACCATATGAAAGTTGTAGAAATTTGGTTATCATAATTTAAAAATATGTGTTTTATAGAGAGAAAAAAGGCCATTTACATTAAGACAGCGGTTCTCAACCTTTGGGTTGTGATCCCTTAGGGGGGTGGTGGGGGTCAAACGTCCATTTCACAGGTGTCGCCTAAGACCATCTGAAAACACATATTCACTGAAGTTATGAAGTAGCAACGAAAATAATTTTATGTTGGGTATCACCACAACATGAGGGACTGTATTAAAGGGGTCACAGCATTAGGAAGGTTGAGAACCCCTGCATTAAGATATGCCTGAGTTTTATAATTTCTCTTACAGTGATACACTGTTTGTTATTCTGATGAAGAACACACCCTCTAATATTCCAGTCATGTACCTGAGATAGGCACAGTGCTGTATATATCAGTTTATTGCAGTTTATCCTTATTTTGTATTTTTTTATCCTGGGTAGATACATGTTTTTATGTTTTCTATTTCCCTTGTAAACTCAATCAAAATAGCTTGTGCAGCTTTGCGTATTCTGCAGAAGTTACTTTGATTGATGATATTTTGCTACTTTTGGTACATTTTCACTAGTTTTTTTCTTCTTTTGATTGTTGTTTTTTTCTTTTGAGTTGTTGTTTCTATATCTTGTCATGTATTCTTATATTTGGGCCTAGCTCTAATTTTTCAAACATCTGCTTGAATAATCGCTTGTTTTACTATGATAATTATCATTACCCAGTGCTGTGAAATACATAACAGCAGTTGTGAAAGTTTTGTCTTCACTAGAAAGATCTGTGGAAGGAGGGATAGAAGAAGACAACGAGAGAAGATTCTTGACAGTCTTGTTGCATGGCATAGAGGTGTGTCGGCACATGAACTGATACATGCTGCAGGAGATTGTGGATTATGGAGAGGCATAATCGCCCACACCCGTCGGCATGGCACCTGATGATGATGATGAAACTTTGGTCTTGTTCTAGACTTTTGTATGCGCATCCATTTTACAGATCTGACTTACTTGTGTGCAGACTCTTGGTTTCACTCCTCTCAGGCAGATGTAGTTTGACTTTAAAGGGAAAATTATCCCCTGTCTGTATTGGCTTGGTTAGGCCCCTAGCTGGGAACCTGGTTCTAGGATGATCATAGAGAAGTAGAGGCAGGTCTTGACCACTAGACCACTATGAGCATTTCCGCTGGTGCAGCACTAGGTGTGTTTCAGCATTCCTAATTTTGGAATGAAAAGAGCCAATGTGGCAGCTTCAGAAATGTATGAAATAAGAACATAATGACACTCAAGCGAAAACTTACAAGTACAGCTTTATTGCATTAAATAACTTCTGAAATGTCCTTTGCAAGCGACAGTAATATGATATTTGAAGAATTATGGAGAATTGGCTAACTGAAGCTGAGTATAGAAACATTTCTGGGCCATCCCGATTTTTTTCCCGAACATCTTTTTAAAGAATTTAATTAATGGGTTAAAATCAGCTGTTCCAGTTGTACAAATTATATTATGTATTGTGAATTTTTGGTGTGGTGGGAACTGGTGTTTATTCCAAGCATATTGGTGTTATCTTTCCTTTGGAGTACACAAAGTAGCTCGCTGAGGGGGGGGGGGGGGGTCTCGCGAGGCATGGTGTCTGCCTCAAGTGCTGGAGGTCCCGAGTTCAAGCCTTGGTGAAGGCTGCAATTTTTTCATGTGGACTTCTAGTTATTTCCCCTGGTTTCAGGGTAGTAAGATCGGACGCTCGTGTGTATTGTAGCGCCCCTAAACAATCACTTGGCCGTTGCAAATCGAAAAGAGTAGCCTAAAAATTAGTAGCATTTGGAGTTTAAAATCTACCCAAAGTATTTCAGGATCCTCGCCGGTGCTGTGGAATTCGTGCACTGCGCTGAGATTCTTCGGACTCGGGCTTGAGTTAAAAGTAGAATGGAGCACTTATGGGTTACTACCCTTGTGCCATAATGTTGATCCATCGTCTAAACCTTAACCCTAAAGTAGCCCAAATGAGGAATCATGCTTCATTGGAAACACATGGTCTCTGCAATACTGTGCTGGCTTTGTGCCACAGAGAGGAGGAACTTAATCCATGGCTGTAACTGTCCATAACCATAGGTTCTGATTCCTTTGCCTCTCTGGGACACAATATAACACTCTCAACTGGACAGACAGAAATGTGCCAACAAATAACTTTTATATATTTGTATTTTAACTTTACTTTTGTTACCAGATTTCTACATTTTGTATTTATTACTTGTCTTGTCTTCTATCTCCCAGTGGAGCATAGACCCTCGACCAACTCACGCCAAGTCATCCTAGTCTTTGCTGTTGCATGCAGCTCACCACAAGTCATCCCTGTCATTTTAATCTCATTCTCTAGCTCTCTTCTCCTTGTGTTTCTTGTGGTCTGCCATTATTTCTCTGCTCCTGTTGGTTCCAGAGCAAGGACATTTCTCTGACTACCTCTACTACCCTTTCTATGTCGGACAAGATTCTAATTCTGGAGATTTTCCTGGCTGAGAGGAAGTCCATGGACGATTTAAGGCTCTTCAGCTTTCTCCACACAACCTCATTAATCTTCTGTTATGGAAGTCATCCCCATCTTGGTTGACTGCGCATTCCTTGTTTCTCTTTTTGACCTTTCCACGGCTGGTTGATTTTTGTGGCTCTAGTTTTTGTGTGTGTGTGAACGGGATGAGGTAGTTTATTACTGCAGCCGGTTGTTGGTTCTATGTTTATTATAATCAAATGGTTTGAGCATTGATTTATTAATTCTTTTCCATCATAATGTCATCATAGTCCCATTCCACTGTTTTGTCAACTTGGTCTACAGGGGATACTGGGAGATGTTCTAGGAAGAAAAGTGATCAGTTTCAAATTGATCACATCATACAGTGAGCAACTGATTGGTCGGTTGAAATATTGGACCAGCACAATGTATGCAATATGCTACTAACTCTTTTCCATTTCAAGAAATGCCTGAAGGGGTGGTTTGCTACACCTCAAAAATTTCAACCATTTTACCATTCTTGTAATTATTTTATTTGATCACCAAATACTAAGCAAATCTGGCTTCCTTTCAGTCACTTATTGTCCGTTTGGCCTAGTGAAAAGAAAATCACACCAGGTTTTTCATAATAATCATTTCCTTGTTCTTCCCTGTGGATCTCCTGGGAAACCTGGCACTGAAAGTTAAGGTATAATTAAGGCTGGTAACTCCAGCATTTCAATTTTACAGAAGGCGGCATTTCAGAAGATGAGGTATCTTATGTAATAAATCCCTCTCATTAAACATCAGAAAACGAGTATTGAAATATTATATCGAGCCAGTTCTTTTGTATGGCAGTGAATCTTGGAATGTGAGCAAAGAAATTAAGAAGAGTTTGGAGACCACTAAGATGTGGTTCTTGAGAAAAACGTTGCGAATGAATACCTCGGAATGCCAGAATAACTAACAGTGGTTGCCTCAAAATGGCTTATGAAAGTACAAAATAAAAAACAATGAAAGAAAGACTAACAATGTTCTGTGGTCATGTGGTGAGAAAAGGAGCACTGGAAAATGTCATGATGACCGGGAAGATCACTGGTAGAAGAGGTGAAGGTAAACCAAGAGAAATGTTGTTGGATGGCTTAAGACACTAGCTTGGTGGAATATCATTAGTGGAATTAATCCAGAACACCAAAGACCGAGATTTGTGAAGATGCATGGATGACTGCGCTAGCTGGCAGGGCACTTGATGATGATCTCTATTTTAACAGGAATGTGGTTCAAGCTGGCCTGTCCTGGCCATTGACCGCCCCACCTGCTCTCAAAGAAGCAAGTTTTCTTTGTCTGTGTCCCCACACTTGGTCTTCTCCAAGATGGCAGATCCTGCCAGAAACTACCCAACATAGCTCTATCAATCCAAGCAATTGATGACCAAGTGAGGTAGTGACAGCAACAGAACCATAGCTGTTCTGCTTGTACAGGGGCCAGACACACAACTTGTTCAGTTGGTCTATACAAATGTGAGTCTAGCCTTATATATCCGATGTGTCA